TTTTCCCACCATAGAAAATGCATAGTAGAATAATAGAAAGTGTGGCAGCCAAAAGAAAAGACGGCTGCAGGCCTGACAGGCTTGTTTGAAGGATGTTGGCTGTGATCAAACCTGTCTTCCTCTGGTCTGCAGTTCTCCACCTCCTCCACCACCATCCTGGATGAGGAGCCCATCGTCAACCGGGGCCTGGCCGCCTCCTCAATGCTGTGCCAGAACAAAGGTAAGGCGGACGGAGCCCTGGGTTCAAACCAGGAGATGCCCTTCCTTGCCCCTCCCTTGGTTGATCCGTTGCTGGATGTGTGGATCACCGGGCTTCCCCTTGGTTTCCTTTCACCAGGCTTGCTGGAGACCACGGTGCAGAAGGTGGCACGGGTGAAGGCGCCCAACAAGTCGCTGCCCTCGGCTGTTTATTGCATTGAGGACAAGATGTAAGTGGGCAAGAGAGAGAGAGAGAGAGAGAGAGAAGGTCTCCCTGGCACTGCTTTATGATTCCTTTCTATATTGATTCATTTGTTTCATATTTCATTTCATAGTTATATTCATTTATTATCTCATTACTAGCTGATAACCTGGCATTGCCCAGGTGTTTATTTATAGGGGGGACATGTGAGGACCAAACCTAATTTCTAAGGTTGGATTTTCCCCCTTACCAGAGGGAGCCCCCTGGTAGAGTACTGTGAAGCCGTTACCATGGCAACTCCACTGTGCTGTACAGTAGGAGCCATTTTAAGGCACAACAGGCTGTATCTTAACAGAACACACACACACACACACCGAGGTGTGCTAGGGCTGCCTTACCCTCACCCTCACAGTATTTGTTTCGAGACAGTAAGTAAGCTGTGTACCAAGTTTGCTTGATTTTGCTCAAGGCTTTCCAGAGTTATGTTGGAACACGCACACAGACACACACACAGACTTTTATATACTGTATTTTTCTGAGTATAAGACACACAAAGATTTTGAAGAGGCAAATTTTTTTAAAAAAAGTTTTTGCACTCTGCAGACCTCCCCAAAACAACCCATTTTTCACAAAAATGGGCCCATTTTTGTAAAAAAAAAGGGGGGTGCATGCATAGCCTTTAGGAGGCTTATAGAATGCTCCTGGGGGCTGGGGGGCCAAAACGAGCAAAGAAACTGCCTGTTTTTCATTCAATTCTGCCCTCCCAGCCCCCAGGAGCTCTCTGAAAGCCCCCATAAGGCTATGCACGGCCATTTTTGCGAAGAGGGCGGGGTTTCTGGAGGCCAAAAATGCTGTATTCAGTGTATAAGACGCACCCAGATTTTCAGCCTCTGTTTTGAGGGGGAAAGGTGCGTCTTATACTTCGAAAAATACAGTACATAGATTTGAAATTATTTTATCAGTTATTATTTATGCGTTGTTATTACTCTCTTTTATTTTCTACTTCTTACTTTTATTGGTTGTATGCTTCTCCTTCTTTTCTGTGGTTACTTTTGGGTGTCTAACCACCCTTGGCCAAATAACTGAATCAAAAGTTAAGTTTAGAGGGCAGAGATGGTTCTGGCTGGACCAGGAATAGCAATAGCAATAGCAGTTAGACTTATATACCGCTTCCTAGGGCTTTCAGCCCTCTCTAAGCGGTTTACAGAGTCAGCATATCGCCCCCCACCAACAATCCGGGTCCTCAATACTGGTCCAGTATTGGGAAGAACATTTTGAAGCTGTGTTAATACTGAGTTGGTCATTAATCCAGGCACCAATGGGTTAATGCCACATCCTTCCTTTGCAAAATATTTCATTAGGGGCTACGCTCAAAAGAAATAAGCGGAGAGAGCAAATGTGTGGAGTTTGGGTTCTTTCGGGGCAGAGCACACTTCGGTACATGGCAATGCTGCATGTAGGTTTAGAATGTCTGCTTGCATTACTATATGTGTATCCTGCCCTCTTTCTGAAAAGTTTAGAATAGTTTGAGTGTTTTTTTTCTCCTTGACATTAACTTTGCAGTTTCTCAACCATCCTCAGCTTTCAGCCATGATCAATGACCGGGATGAAGACATTTTGAGCTATATGACTAATCTGCAGGTGATTTCAACAAAGTTGTGC